GAGAGGTTAAGAGCCCTCTGTGAGATTGAATGGCCTTCTTTTAAAAGTGGGATGGCTGCCGGAGGAAACTTTATATCTCCCTACCACACCTACCTCTGACTAAACCTACAGCTTCAATCCTGCAGGCCCTCCTAGTAGAGGAGCCATTAGTGGCTCCTCCCCCATATGTCTCAGTTGCTGAACTGGCAATTGAGACTTCACTGCTATCTGTTTCTCCAGGGCCTAAAGAACAACCTGAGGAGCCAGCACAGGCTCAGGGAATGAAAGCCAGTGCAAAAGAAACCTACAAACAAGGCAAAAAACTCAGAAATAATTCAGAAGGTGGATGAGCCACTGGGGCAATTTTATGAGAAGCTCTTTGAGCCATACTGAATCTATACTCCATTTGACCCTGAGCTCAGAAAGCCAGCAAATGATTAATGCTGCCTTTGTTGCCCAATTGGCCCCTGCCTCCAAGAAGCAGGAAGGCTTTGCTGAGTACCACCGAGCTCCTGGAGATTGCTAAGACAACTGGAGGCAAATTGGAGGCCCCACCACGTCCAGAGAGGGGCCAAAAACTGGCTGCCCCAGATTCAGACCAACCCAATGTGCATACTGCAAAGAGGATGGACACCGAAAAGGTGAATGCCCCAAGCGGAAGATAAACCAAGGGAGAATGACCAAAACTCCACTGAGGATCCTCAAGATCTTCCACCCAGAATCCCCAAGGGACCTCCTGGCCATAATGGAATCAGAATAGGACCAACAAGACTCCATGATCCTGGGCCCCCAGGAGCCTCTGGTCAATATCAAAAGGGGGGGGCACCCAATGAAATTCATGATAGATACTGGAGGTGAACACTCTGTTGTCATCCAGCTCTTGGTCCCCCTGTCAGGCCAAAAAGCCACCATCATGAGGCCCACTAGAAACACCAAAACTCAGCCCTTTTTACAGGTGAGAAGCTGCCAGCTGTGGGAGGGAACCTGGTTACTCACAAGGTCCTGTACCTGCTTGATTGCCCAGTCTCATTGCTGGGAAGAGACCTATTGACTAAACTCAGAGCACTAAACAGTTTTGACTCAGGCTTGGCTGCATTGTCTGTCAGCCCTTCCAAAATCCTGACTGTAACAGTGAACTGAGAGGAAGAATGGCAAATATTTGCCCCCGGGGAAGCACTTGCTACTGATCTAGAAAATTTTCCAGGTCAGGAAACTGGGTGTACCCTATTCCAATATGTCAATGACCTTCTGCTTACTGGAGCAACCCGAGAAGATTGCTGGAAGGAACTCGAGAGCTGCTCCAACTTCTCTCTCAGGCCGGGTACAAGGTCTCAATGAAGAAAGCCCAAATCTGTTGTACCAAGGTACAATTCTTAGGATTCATTTTGACTAAAGGACATTGTGCTCTTGGGCATTGACTGAAAGCATGTGATACATGGATTGCGTCAGCCCACAAACTGGAAGCAACTATGTGAATTCTGGGGAGCTGCAGGATTCTGTAGAATTTGGACACCAAGTTTTGCTGAAAAGGCTAAGCCGCTGTATGAACTATTAAAAGGCCAGAAGAAGCCAACTTTGAATGGGGACCTCTCCAAGAGCAGGCTTTCCAGGATCTTAAGTCAAGCCTCAGGAAAGCACCGGCTTTGGGACTCCCAGACATCACCTGAGAATTTGATCTGTTTATATATGAAAAAGCCAGACAGCACTAGAGTTCTGACTCAGCCTGTTGGACCCTGGGAGAGACCCATTGTCTACCTGTCTAAAAGATTAGAATATTTTAGATCAATGGCATCTAGATGGCCTCATTGCCTATGAGCCCTTGCTGCCACTGTTGAGTTGATTAAAGAGGCAGACAAGTTAACCTTAGGTCAAGTTATCAATGCCTGGGGTCCCTCATTCAGTCACTGACCTGATGAACACCAGGGGATATAAATAGGTATCCAGCTTTAGAATGGCCCACTACCAGGGCTTATTGACTGGAAATTCCTGAATTAAACTCCAGTCTCTGCAGACCCTCAAACCTGCTAGCTTCCTAGCCACACTGGGGCCTCCTGACTACAATTGTGAAGAGGCCCTCAATGAAGTTTTTTTCTGGACATCTTGATCTTGTAGACACACCACTGAAGGCCCCCAACCTCACCCTTTTTACTGACAGCAGCAGCTACATGAAGGATGGAACTTGATACGCTGGATATTCCATTACCTCTCAAGACATAGTGCTTGAGGCTGAGCCACTGCCCCAAGGATGGTCATCTCTGCAGGCTGAACTCTGGGCATTAATCCAAGCCCTAAAATTGGCAGCCAATAAGAGGGTAAATATCTACACAGACTTATGACATGCCTTTGCCACCCTACACACTCATGGGGCATTGTATATATATAGAGGACTCCTCTTGGCTAAAGGAAAGAGTTAAAAACAAAGAAGAAATCTGTCAATTATTAGACATAGTCTAGGAGCCAGAGGAAGTGACAATCATCCACTGTAGAGGACTCCATAGGGGGAAAGATCTTGTCACCCTGGGCATGGCAGACCACACAGCCAAGACTTCCACCAACCAAACCCCAACTGCTATAACCAAAGTGTTTGTACCTGGTTTGTACAACTCACAAGTCTCCCAAAAGTTCCTCCCCCAAGTCCCCAACAAACACTGTTAGGCAAAATCAGAGGGAGCAACTCTGGAAGAAAATGAATGATGGAGACTGCCAGATAAAAGAATATACATACCCCAGTCCTTGGGATATTTGTTGGTAAAGCAATACTATGAACTAATTCACTGGAGAAAGACTAACCTAAAGAGCTTACTGGGTTGATACTATTTCTTGAGTCACCTACTATCATTGTGAGCATGCGGAGCAAAATCTGTGCCAGGCCAACTTAACCAGCTGGAATACAAGCCAGTGGGACAACTCCCATGGAATTGCTAGAGGCAGACTTCTCCACGCTGGGGCTATAAGCATTTACTAGTCCTGGTTTGTACTTACTCAGCCTGGATAGAAGCCTTTCCCATGCAAACTGAAAAGGCCAGAGGTGACTCAAGCCCTTTTGAAGGAAGTCAAACCCATATCTCGGTTTGAGCTTCTCTTTATGATCAGGTCAGACAAATGGCCCTGCTTTCATTGCAGAAGTTACACTGGGCGTAGCAAAGGCCTAAGCATAAAATGAACGTTTCACACTGCTTACCAACCTCAGAGTTCTGAGAGAGTTGAAAAAACGAACTATTTTCTCAAGTCCACCCTGGCTAAGTTCTGTCAGGACACTGGACACCCCTGGATGGATGTCCTCCCACTATCCCTGCTCTGAGTTCAATGTACACCCCAAAGACAAGGTTATTCCCCTTATGAGATCCTGTTTGACCAGCCATCCCTTTAGTCATTAAAGCTCAAATGATTGACATACATCAGTTGGGTGAGGCAATCCTGACTCAGGATCTGGTGGCCTTGGAAAAAACTTTAAAGAAAATAACCCATGTAAACTTAGAAAGAGCCCCTGTCCCTCTTGGAAACTGGGTATACAAACATGAGCCCCGGGACTTGGTGTGGGTTAAAAATTAGAAAAAAACAAAAACAAAAACAAAAACACGGCAGCCCACCTGGTTGGGGCCATATGTTGTTGTATTTGTTACTCCTACTGCAATTAAGGTTGCAGGGCTAGCCCCATGGATTCACCACTCATGAGTGAAGCAGACCATAGTACCTGGGAGGACCTTGGCACCTGGACAATTAAAAGTCATCCTGAGCAGCCAACCAAGGTGACCTTTCAGAAGGCCAAGACCTGACATCAAGACCTCAGCCCTTCTGTAGCCATTCCTGGACTGACTGCTCTACACATGGCAAAAGCTTGAGGAGACTGCAGCCTTGCTTTGGTCACTCCAGACACTGATCAATCTATGCATGGCAGAAGCTTGAGGACAGCAACAGATGGCACCCTGACAATACCCTTACAACCTCCCCCCTTGAAGCCATCAAATATCATCTGCTTGTCACTGACTCAGGAAGCTATGCTTACCACCCTCCTGTTAATTGACCCTCCTCTAGTATGGTTGAGGAGGAGGGGAGGATGTGGAACAACCCAAGGCTAGTAACTGCCTGAACCTTCTGTTCTGATATGGAGGAACTTGCGAGCAACATTGAAGTAACCCAGGACTGATAGCTGCTTGGGCTTTCTGTTCCCCTGTGTGCTAGCTGCCCCTCCCCTGAACTGTTGAGCTACCAGAGGCCTTGAGCAGGCTGGATTCTTTGCTTCTCTGTCAGCTCTGTATTAGGGCAGACTCTGAACCCCTTCTCAGATAGAATACTCCAAGTGTGCTGAAACTGCCCCTCCCCAATTCATCTATAAAAGACTGTGTCTAACTCTCAGTCAGGCTGGAGATTCAGAATATTAACTCCTCTGTGTCTGCCGACATAGTAAAACAGTTCTCCTATCTCTCTGAGTGTTATTTTTCTGTTCCCTAGTGTCCGGTTTTCTGCAACAATGTCAAGAGTGCGTGGTATGACACCAGTTCACAAGATTAATGAGAATGTGCTATCCCTCAGGATATGTCTTTAGACTGAAGCATTAGTAACAAAGACTGTCACAAAATTCTTTACAATAAACTTTTCTTCTATAACTGTTAGATTTTTGACAATGTTTAATATAGGGTATTATCCTCTCTACAAAACTTGTACACTCCTCACCAATTCACCCATTCCCATCTTAATATTCTAAAGTCTAAATCAAATACCAAGGTAGTGTGAAGGGGGGGCATGGAGAGGAAACTTGATCATTAGGATTTTACCTTTATCACAGATGCTTTCTCTAGAAGGTTTTGTCTAGTAATCTTGGTTTCCTCTTGTGGTGTTTGATAGCTACCAATTAGTTCTGGAAACCTACCCAGATGGATACAGATTTTCTTGACATCATAATGCTAGGGATGTGATTCAGGCTCTGTACCATTGATGCCATTTGTTGTTTAGAACATTCAGGCCATCAGTATGTGGTAATAATGTATTTCCAAGTTTGTTTTAACTTTGGATTTCAAATGTTAAGCAAATTATTTTTAAGTGAACATCAGTAAATGAACACAATTAGCTACTACCAGAGCCAACATTTATGTTTTCAGCATAATGTTATGAAATTTTAATGTCCTCTCAAATTGTGGTCTTCTGAACATTTTAATGAACAGACTTGAACTCCTCAATGCAGCTTTCTTTGGAAAATTGAAGTTGAAATCAACAGATCCAGGTAACTCACCAGCCATGTGAAAAATAGGATCAAATGTATTTTGACATATGATTGAGTACATGATGTAGGGGTGCTGTGTGGGGAGAAGGCTGCTGCCTTTTTACAGTGATTGGAGGCAAATAGGCTGTGTCCTGACCCAAACTGCCCCACTCTCTGTTGCCTCATCAGCATGTCTTTTTCCTTTGAATATCTAGGGCTTCTCTGAAAATAAGAATGCATAATAAAATAAAAATTACAATCTGGCAGATGGTATGGAGGTTAAGGTGGCTGGAGCTTACATAGCCAACTCTGTGGTTCGAGTTTCAGAACCGGTGGCTTGAAAATCACACCAGCATGTGTGTGTACATGCTCCAAATCCTAAGAGGAGAATGTAGAAGAAGGAATTGCAATGTAGCCATTCCCCCTGGGGGGGTGATTTCTCACTTTCCTTCAATCTCCCTGTGTCTGTCTGTCTGTCTCTTTCCAGCGAGTGCACATGCCCTATAGCAAAAACTTAAAAAAAAAAAAAGGCATTAATTTGAGGTCTCCCAATACTAAGGAGCCCTTCATGTGTTTGTTCTGGTTTTTTTTTTTTTTTTTTGAGTGCTTAAAATGGAATAATAACATGATAGTGGAAATGAAAGGGGAGATGGAGTAAAATGCATGACTAAAGAAAGAAAAAAATGCTAAGTTTTAGGTGGGTTGTCCATATGCTTGCTGAAGGTGCAGGATGCTAATAAGTTTTTAGGTGGGAGAAATATTTGAATCAGATGCCAATAATCCTTTTAAAATGGAAAATTCACGTAATTTTACATGATTAGCAAACAGTATGGAGTGAATCTTTATGAATTTTCTATCCATTTTTAATTCAAAAATTATAAAACTATTATTAATCATTGCTCTCCATCTATTTCCCTGAACAGTCCTTACTCCTCCTCCCCATATCTGCAAGAGAAAATTCCATGTATTGTATCGCTTTAAGTCCTTTTCAATTCAAGAATCACTTTTGTCTCACTTTCCTCTTTGTCTCTCCCAGCCTTTCTACACTATTCACCTCATCCTAGCTCTTTTTATTTTCACTTACAGCTCTGATGGTCCAGCTCTGCCAGGACACACCTTGGTAAAGATCCAGCCCTGGATGCTGAGTGGCTCAGGAGGAAGAGCCAGACCAACAGTTCCTCATGCCGTGTTCTCTTCTACTGTGGAAAGATGGTTCCATAAAGAGAGCTCCATAATGGCAGTAGGTGACACGTTGGGACACATTGGGGTCAGTCTTCTGCTGCTCTGGATTGGGGTATCTTTGTTTATTTCTGGCCCCTCCCAAGTCAGTACTTCTCAGCATTTCATGTCCCCCGAAGTGGTGATCCCCTTGAAGATGACTGGAAGGAACAAAGGTGCAAAGGCTCCAGGATGGCTCTCATACAGCCTGCGGTTTGGGGGCCAAAGACACATTATCCACATGAAGGTGAAGAAGCTGTTGGTTTCCACACACCTCCCGGTGTTCACCTACACGGATCAGCATGCCCTCCTCCAGGACCAGCCTTTTGTTGGGAATGACTGCTATTATCATGGATATGTGGAGGGGGCCCGTAAGTCCCTGGTTGTCCTCAGTACCTGTTTTGGGGGCTTTCGAGGAATGCTACAGATAAATGACCTTGTTTATGAAATGGAACCAATTTGGTTTTCTGCCACATTTGAACACCTGGTATATAAAATAGACAGTAATGAGACAGAGTTCCCACCTGTGAGATGTGGGTTAACAGAAGAAATATCACACAAATTGGTGTTGCAATTACCACCTAGAAATACTCTCAAGCAAAGTTCTTATATGGACTGGTGGACCCACTGGCGGTTTCTTGAACTGGGAGTTGTTGTAGACCATATTAGATTCCTTTTCTCCCAAAGTAATGTGTCAATAGTGCAGCACCAAGTAATTAATGTTATCAATATAGTGGATTCTTTCTATTACCCCTTTGAGCTTGATGTAATCTTAACTGGAATTGAGATCTGGACTCAAAACAATGAAATTATTACCAATGTTGACTTAGATGATGTTGTAGTATATTTTGCACTTTGGAAGCATAATTACCTTGATGCCCGGCTGCATAGCGATGCTACACATCTTTTTATAAGAGATGTAAATGTCTCAAAGCTTGGTGTTGCCTATGTTCAAGGAATATGCCAGAAACCTTTTAATTGTGGAGTTGATGTGTTTGAAGACAACCATTTAGTTCCATTTGCAATTACTTTGTCACATGAGCTTGGTCATAATTTGGGGATGCTGCATGACACTGAAACATGTGTGTGTGAGCTACAGTATTGTGTAATGTATGCCTACAGAAAGTTGACAAATAAATTCAGCAACTGCAGTTATTCCGACTACTGGAATAATACTTACATTAATGGATTGTGTATCTTTCCTCCTATATCATCAGGGAATATTTTTAGACTAAACTACTGTGGAAACCGAGTGGTTGAAGAAGGAGAAGAGTGCGACTGTGGAAACATCCATCAGTGTGCGAAAGATCCCTGTTGTCTGTTGAACTGCTCTCTGAGCCCTGGTGCTGCTTGTGCTTTTGGGATGTGTTGTGAAGGCTGCAAGTTCAAGCCGGCGGGGACATTATGTAGACAACAAGCCAATGACTGTGACCTTCCAGAGTGGTGCAATGGGACATCCCATCAGTGCCCAAACGATGTATATATGCAGGATGGAATCTCTTGTACTGACAGTGCCTACTGCTATAAAAAGTCATGTAGTACCCATGACATACAGTGTAAAGAGATTTTTGGCCAAGATGCAAGAAGTGCATCCCAGAGTTGCTACAACCAAATCAACACCCAAGGAACTCGTTTTGGTCACTGTGATATTGGAGGCACAGTGTATGTAAAATGTTTGACCCCTGATATCATGTGTGGAAGAGTACAGTGTGAAAATGTAGGAATAATTCCCAATCTAAGAGAACATTCTACAGTGCATCAATTTCACTTCAATGACACTACCTGCTGGGGTACTGATTATCACTTAGGGATAGCCATATCTGATATTGGTCATGTGAAAGATGGCACAGTGTGTGGTCCAGGTAAGATCTGCATCCAGAACAAGTGTACCAGTATGGTTCATCTGCTCCAATCCTGTCAGCCTGATACCTGCAACGGGAAGGGGGTCTGCAATAATAAACAGCACTGCCACTGTAACCAAGGGTGGGCACCTCCCTACTGCAAGTACAAGGGCTATGGAGGAAGTGTTGATAGTGGCCCTGCTCCTAAGAATGGAACGGAACACTCATACAGGAGAAACTTGACTTACTTGTCACCATTGCTTCTTATTCCTTTGATTGCTCTATGTTTTTGTTGCTTCTTTATAATTTATAAGAAACAAAAACGGCAAAAGAGAGTACAGGAAAAAGACAAAGAGGAAGAGGAAGATAAAGATGAAGAGGAAGATAAAGATGAAGAGAAAGAGAAAGATTAAAGCTCATATGTCACTGTAAAAATCTCTAATTTTGTTTTAGCAGCAGAGAAACATGGGAGTATATCTGGCTGTTTAAAAAAAACTTCAAAGGTTCATAAACATTATGTATCACAACAAAGGAGTCCTAGAAAGTTCTTACTCTCCAGTGTTTTCCAGTTTTTATATCAAAGGTTCAATTTTTCCCCCTGAAAGTTGGATGTTTATGTTTCCTGAGCAAAAGCTCAGCAAAGACATGTTTTACTCAGTCATTTTTCTCCCTGGGTAGTTTCTTTCTTCTGCTTACTCTTTTTTTTTTGTAGAGGTTTTTGCCTTAGTGCACGTGAGCTCATGGTGGTGGGGTGGTGGTGGTGGTGAGAGGGTGGGTGGGGATGGACAGTGAGAGAGAGGGAAAGTGAGAAATCACTCACTTGGGGGATGTCCACACCACAATCTCTTCTCTTCCATTCTCTTCCCCTCCCAGGATCTTGGGCACATACTTACACAGACCTGGTGTGAGATTCAGTCCACCAGGTCTAGGACTTGAACCATCGTCCGCCATGTGGGAGTCCAGTGACGCAACCGCTACCCCATCTGCTGGCTCACCTATTCTCTCATTTCTTGGAACATGCTTTCCTCATTATTAATTCTGTCTGGGATAGAAGCATATTCTACTCATGAATTCAGCTAAAGACAAACCTGTTTGTCTTCCCTCCTAAGACTAAGGTATTTTGAATTTTTCCTGAATGAATGAAATGTTTTACAAAAAGGAATCTCTTCAGAAAACTGCTGAGAAAACGAGCATGAATAGTTGAATTTTCCTGGTAGGAAATGTAATGGCATTGTGGTTAAAAATGCTTCTAATTAACAGTTATCTCATGGAGTTTTGAATTTACCAGTTAAATTAAGAATTAGCAAGGTTCACTGAATAAGAACCCCTTTATATAAAAACTATCTGGAATTAGAGTTTATTGAATTTTATTAATTTTATTGAATTAATTTATCCCATATGATTTTTAAAAAGAATTATTTATTTAACTTTATTTATTCATTCATTTATTTTTAATTTGACCAGGCATACACACACACACACACACACACACACACACACACACACAGAGTCACCAGGTCCAGGACTTGAACTGTAGTCAGCCATGTGGGAGTGTCCAGCACCTTAACCAACATACCACCTGTTGGTCCCCAATCCCATATGATTTTAATATACTTTTTTCTTTTTATTTTATTTACTTATTTTAAAAATTAATTTATTTTACATTCATTCACTGAGGATCATTACAGCATACAAAATGTGATTTCCCATCTAGAATACACTGTATAGTGGCTTAATCATACATGTTATCATTGACAAATAATTTCCCATTTATTGTTTTATTGTTTTATTTATATATATATATATATATATATATACACACACACACACACACACACACACACACATACCCCTATTTATTACCTCCTGCCATTTCCCACCCTCCTCTCACACTGTCTGGTGTCTACAGTTGCTTTCCATTCCTCCACCACCCCACCCCCCATATTTTATTGATAAACAAAATATCTTATTTATTCTAATGTAACTATTTTAAATAGCAAGTTCAGCTGATACATACATATTTGTGAACACATGTCTCAATTTAGGCATGAAGCTCTGAGTAGAATGAATATACTATAAAGTAGCACCTAGTTTAGGCTACATAGTCTACTGCACATGAACTGTGGTCGACTACGTGGGAGTCCAGCAATATAGCCATTACACTAACTGCTGGTCCCTGTAAATCAAAGAAATTTAAGAGAGCTTTGCTTAAAACTTAAAGCCAGGGAACAGATTAGGATTCTGTTCAAATAGTAGGGGCATGAACCTATCAGTAGCTCAAGACAAAACAAAAATTCTTAAATCTGAAAAACAAAACATATAAGAAAATCAGTAATGTAGTCAAAAGGCATAAGATTCTATATAACCAGTTCAGTCTCATGTACTTTGTGATCTTCCTGTTAAAATTCTGGAAGATAACATTCAACTCCAGACTTTCCTTACCATTAAGTTGGCCATTTTCTTGGTTGTTTTTGAACTCTTATTTCTGTGTCTATATTTAGTTTTCCTGGTATAGCACTCTGTTCAGAACTTCTTGGAGACCTGGTCGGGTGTTGGTAAATTCTTTCAGGTTTTGTTTATCTGAGAACGTCCTTGTCTTTTCTTCCCATATTGATGCAGAAAAACAGGCATCGAGGGACAAAAGTGCAGCACTCTGGAGAGAAAAGATAACTCTGTAATATGCCAGTGGGCACAAAGGAGTTAACACTTTGACTCTCTGGCCCCCTGTAGGGGTCAAGCACAGTCTTTTATGGGGGAGTTTGGGAAGGGGCTGTTTTCAGTGGCTATGGTATCCTATCAGGGAGAAGAAGCCTCTTAGGAAGAAGAAGCTCATAAGGACGATGTAGCCCAAAGTTTGTTCTCAGGAAGAAAGGGTCAGATAAACAGGGTGTCTGACTTTTCAAGGTCTCAGATTGCTTTTATCACTTCAGAGGGCGAGAGGCAGAGGCAGTGAATTCACAAAGGCATGAGAAATGTTAGCAATTGCCAGCCTTGGGCTATTGTGAGTTCCGGGCCCATTTACATCAGATATTGTGAGTTTCGGGCCCATCCACATCATTCCCCCACTTGAGCCTCCTCAGTCATATTCTAGGAGGATCAATCAACAGAGGGATGGTAAATGTAATTTCCCGGGATTGCAGCAAGTATCTGGTGCTTTATAGCATCAAGACAGGAGATTATGAATCATGTCATCAGATTAAGGACACAGGGTCTGAAAGCCAGGGCCAAAAGAACAACTGTTAGAGGCCCCTGGAGAGGTAGTAGCCATGGGGCCCATGCTGGGAGCCCATTGCAGCCTGCCCAAGAATCAACTGTTGCTTGTTGTTTGGAGACTAAATCTCTAAGCTGCTGGGCCATGTCTTGGACTACTGATGGTTAGTGTAGGAACAACATTCTTCCCCCAGAAATAAGCAGAGTCCATCTCCATATGGAAGTTCATACTCCCTTAGGGATGTATAGCATGTCAATCTCTCTGCTAAGGGGCACTGGTAACAGGCATGGCTCCCTCAACTCTGACCCATAGAGTGGGACTCGTTGCCATGGATGTAAGACCAGATAGTACTGGCATGGAGGCAAGCTTTGTCACCTGTTCTTAAATGTTTGAAAACTGGATCTCTGCAATTAAAGGAGTATATGGCCTATAGGCCATTCTTGATCTGGACTCCCTTCTCCCAGGGGACCTTCGGAAAAAAGGGGTAATGTCCACACTGTGGTGTTACACCAGTTAACACACTGAGGGCTCTCTCATTATGGTTGAGATCAAGATAACAGTTAGGATCCCTGTTTGAAGGAGAGAATGAGAATGCCTCAGTTAGCTAATCAAAATACCTTAGGCCTATCACAATTTCCACCACCAGGAGGTATAACATTACTAGCAAAAGCCTTTCCCAGAACTTCCATTTCTGTGGGGCTATTGTAGCCAGACCAATAGAAAAAAACCACAGCTAGTGCCACGAGAAGGGCTAGGGATAGGAAATTATAGGGGTAAGGTAGAGATAACATCTGTCACAGTCCTCAGGCTTCCTCCGTGAGTAAAGCAGTGAGCCCATGCAGTGACTGTAGTAGGGTTGCAGATTCCTTGTCAGGTCTTGGCCCTCTGTAAAGTCACCTTGGTTGACTGCTCAGGGTGGCTCTTCACCATCCTGGGGTCCTCTGGCACTGCGACTTGCTTCACTCGCGTATGGTGAATCCATAGGCTAGCCCTGAAATTTTAACTGCAGTAGTGGTAACAAGCACAACAACATATGGCCCCAGCCAGATGGGCTTGTCCCTATGAGTAAGTTGGTTATTTTATTAATTTTTGAACTCCTATTTATGTGTGTCTGTAATTTAATTTTCCGGGTATAGCACTCCATTGAGAACTTCTTGGAGATCTGGTCTGGCGTTGGTAAATTCTTTCAGGTTTTGTTTATCTGAGAATGCTCTTGTCTTTTCTTCCCATATGAAGGATAATCTTGCCGGGTACAGTATTCTTAGCTCAAGTTGTTTCTCCCTTAACACTTTGAATATATATTCCCACTCTTTCCATTGTTTCTGACGAGAGGTTCACTCTTAGTCTGATGGGATATCCTTTGTAGGTAACTTGATGTTTCTCTCTTGCCAAACTCAGTATCTTGTCTTTGTGGTTTTGGTCAATCTTGCTATAATGTGTCTTGAAGAAGATCTTCTTGGGTTGATTCTATTTGTTTTATTTTTGTATTTCTTGGGACTGGATCTTTGGTTTAGAAAGTTTTCTTCCAGGATTTCATGGAATCGATTATCAATGCCCTTATTAGTCTCTTCACCCTCTGGGATACTAATTATCTGAATGTTTGGACGTTTAACGGTATCTAGTATTTTCGTATATTATTCTCATTTTGGGGGGCTGTTTTTTCAGTCTTCGTGGTGGATTTTTCTAGGCCAGTGATTCTATCTTTTACATCTGAGATTTAGTCCTCTGTATGATCTAGTCTACCCTTAATACTTTCAAGGGAGGTTTTGATTTCCTGCATTATGGTCTTCATCTCTAACAGCTCTTTTTGATTATTTTTTTATTATATGTATTTCCTCTTTCAGATCATGCAAGAACTTCCTCACCTTCTAGAAATTGTCAGCTCTTTTCTCCTGCGTCTTCTGGAGTTCATTGTCTCTCTCTTCTCTTGCATCTCTGTTAGATTTGTCACTATGAATATTCTAAATTATTTATCTGACATTTCCATGAGTTCTATTGTACTGTCTGTGGGTGAAGAGGAATTATTATTTTCCTTTGGAGGAGTGGTATTTTCTTGCTTTCTCAAATTTCTTGTGCCCCTGTGGTGATTTCTGGTCATCAGATGGGTTGTGCGTTTCTTCCTAATTCTTGATGTTCAGTCTGAGCATTCAGAGGCATGCAAGAGGAAGTGATCTGCAATCTCTCTTCTCTTCCATTTTTCACTCGTTGTAGTTCAGATTCAGTGGGAATTGAGAAATATTCTGACTTAATCTTAATCAGATGTTTGGATATTGTTCACCTAGACCTGCCTAGACACTCAGTTCATGGAGACTGAGCCATCAAAGAATGAAGTTAAAAGAAAAAGGAAAAGAAAAGAGAAGAGGAAAGAAAAACAAAACTATAAAAAAAGAAAAAAGATAATAAGATGATAAAAGAATTTTATTGCCCTACCAATCTAGAAATGGATCTGGAGGGAGAAGTCTTAGCATAAATTCTTCACTTTTAGTTCCTGAAAGCTATATTTCACAGCTGAAGTTCAATATCCATCTCAGAATCCCATACGATTTTTGTAGACTTGAAGTTACAGATTACATACTATTCCAAACACTATACCATAAATTCTCAACCAAAAATTTTGAGCATAGTCTCCAATAGGAGATGCATTTTAAAAAATTGTATATATACAAAAAATAGCAATGTTATAAATTTTATGATGCAAACATTTAGTGAATATGATAGTTATACAGGGAGATATAGGACATCTATGTGGTCTAGGTTATTTAGAAAAGATCTGATAATAAAAGCGGAATATGAACCTTAGTTACTATAATTCAGTCCATCAGTGAAAAGTGACTAGACAGTCTAGGCTATTGTAGTAGCAAAAACAAAATTACAAAGCAAAAACGAATATACCCTGTAGGAGGGAACAGGCTGGAGTTAAAGAGGCTATCCAATTCCCATTACACTGAGTTCAAAAATAAAGTTGTATAGAAATGGAGCCAGAGCAAGATATCTTTGAGAACCAATTGCTCTTTCTGTAGAAATGAAGAAGAATCCTGGTTGCTAAGCAGCTAATCTAGAACTTGGACACCTGAGAGACAAAGGGGAAGGTCTATTTCCCTTTGTTCTGTGTGGTCTCAACTAAAAATCTGTGTTCTTTGATAGAGTGGTATAAACTACCTACACAGAAAGGGCCATGGAAATTACTGTTTCTTCTGCTGGTAAGTCATTCATCAAACTGGCTCTCTATATAAGTTGGTAACTAGAGTAGCCCATTGGATAATGCGGAGCTTCTTTAGAATTGTTCTGTTTTCCTTTGTAAAGATGCAAGTGAACTAAGCATGAGTATCGGGTAGCATGTCATATTGAGGCTAGAGTGACTCATCCTGTGAGTAGGGAGGCTGTTTTCTACTTTAAGAGCCTAATCATGTTACAAAACATGGAGTTGTAGTGGCACCACTTCCCGGTGTCGTTGGTAGAATGATGTTCTTTCAGGAGTTTGGTCTCTGGATTTCCAGGAATGATGAGGCTGAGTCTGACTTAAAGATTCTTTAGTTATTTTTCTATTATTGCCTGCTTGCAAGCTGATCTTCAAGAAAAAGAAAAATATGACACAGGTTCATGCAGCTTACTACCCATCTCCACACTATTTCATATTTTATTATCTCTTCCCACTTTCCATCCTCCCATCCACAACTCCCACCCCATAAAAAGAAGGCCTGTCAAGAGATACAGAGAACACATAAGAAAGTTGGAGTTTTACCTCAATTCAGAGATCTTTATTCTTGGAAATTTTGTCTAGGAACTTTGCTTTTCTCTTGTAGGCTCCTTGTACCTTGTGGAATAAAGTGCCTACCATAAAGCAATGGAAATTTATCAGATGGCTCCAGGTTATCTAGGCAGGAAAATGGCAAGACTATTATTCATATTGGAACAAGTCCTCCCCATCAGCATCCACATAGCAAACCTAGGACAACTTCAAACTAGAATGGAAAAGATGAGGTAGCTGTCTGTTGACTTTGTTTTTGCAGAGGCTCAGTGCTTCTTAGCCTCATTTTCATCAGTCAGCTGACTGGTGAAAAAGAAATCTATGGACACTCTCAGAAAAAACACACACACGTTCACACACAATAGGAGGGGCCTTCAAAAATGTATGGAAAATGCATATTATGAGAAAACTGTTGTATGTTAACAGACCCCCTGAAGCTTATTCCCATTCCTGCCACACATTTCTACACTAAAGTTATCATTTATTTAAGGTTCTGTGCTTTATTTTCTTTCCTAGAGTCAGGCGCAATGCCCTGCACTTTATAGACTCCAAACACATAAATGCTTGTTTAATGAATAAGGAAAAAGATGGAGGAGTGTTTCCGGAGAACCTGTATGCCAGGTATTGAAATTCTCTTCTTTCAAAATTTGTTGGTAGAAATATCTGAGCAAACATTGAATTTTTTCCTGGCAATCCTAGAATACTAGGCATTCCAATGCCTTTGCCCAATCTTTGATATTCTCCTGCAGGTAACTGCAGAGAATAACACTGTCCTCCCTATACTTTAAAAGGTTGTCAGGTGTTTTTTGTTTGTTTGTTTGTTTTAAATAAAGATTTTTTTCTCTTCTAAAAATTAAAATAAAAAATCAATTTTAAGTAGCATTAATCCATAATTCAAGGCACTTCACTAGCCCTACCCCTATTTTCCACTTCTTATTGTGTGCAGAGGTAGAACAGATGTTATAAAGAATATTGAAATGAGTGAAAATCATAAACTTTGCAGTGAAGGACCTTAAGCCTGATAGAGTGAAGAGTAAAGGGATATACAATGAGGAAACACTAAATAACTTGAAGGAGGGGTCAACTAGGTGGTGTAGTGGTTAAAGTGGCTGGATCCCACATGGCCAACGGTGCAGTTCAAGTCCCAAACCCAACAGTTTAAAAAACATGCCAGGCCTGTGTGTGTATGTGCTCAAAACCCTAGAGTAGGCAGAAGGAGAAGGAACTGTGGCACGGTCATACCCCCAAGGCACACTTTCTCACTTTCTCTCTCTCTCTGTCTTTCTGATAAGAATATGTTTCCTATAGCAAGTAAAAAAGAAAAAAAAGAAAAACTAAAGTAAATCATAAGACTAATGCAAATTGACATAAGAATTGAGAGTGTGTGTGTGTGTGTGCGTGTGTGTGTGTTTGTTTAACAGAGATTTTTTGTTATAGGGTGCATGTGCTCACCAGAAAAACAGAGAGAAAGCAAGAAAACACCACCCCCCCTTCCCAGGGGAGATGGCCACATCACAATCCCTTTTCCATTCTTCTCTTGGGATTTTCGACATGAATGCACACGTGCCCAGTATGTGTTCCAAGCCACCAGATCCAGGAGGCAAACTGGTCAAACATGTGGGAGTCCTGCAACATAACTGTTACACCATCTGCTGGTCTCTGTTTTGATTATTTTTGATGTCTCCAATTTTGATAGTCAAAGGGGACACTATCAGTAGCTATTTAAGGACTACAGGCACCAACCAATACTATCTCAGACAAATTGAGCTTTAAAAATCAGCCTGCTCTTATGTTACTTTACTTTTGACTTAACTTTTTATTATGGACTTTTGACTTAACTTTTTATTATGGACATTTTTTTTTTTTTTGAGAGGCTTCTGCTATAGGGCGCGTGCACTCGCCAAACAGAGAGAGACAGAGAGACAGAAAGCAAGAAATCACCCCTCAGAGGGGATGGCCATGCCGCAATCCCTTCTTGTCCGTTATCCTCTCGGGATCTTGGGCATGCATGGACACGCGCCCAGCGTGAGTTTTTTTTTTAAGCCACTGGGTCTGGGACGCGAACTGCGGTCAACTACATAGGAGTCCAGTGACATAGCCATTACGCTAACTGCTGGTCCCTTATTATGGACATTTTCACATCACTCCAAAGATTGAGATACTTGTGTAAATACTCACTGGCAACTTCAATGACTATCAGTATATGGCCAGTATTGCCTTAGATATTCTCCTGTACCTCTGTACCCATTTACTGAAGGCAAATCCAAATAATTTTCTTGATTCACCAACCAGTCTTTGCATTTTATTCTTTTCCTCACTCCTTACCCAATCTTACCACCATTCCCACCCTTCTCTTTATTTTCACTTTCAGCACAGCAGCTCTGATGGTCCAGCTACTCCAGGACACACATCCAGGAGGGTCAGGCCTTGCATGCTCTGCCCTCTTCTGCTCTGGATAAATGGCTCCATAATGGTGGATGTGGAGGTTGGAGTGTCAATGACAGTCACTCTCCTGCTGCTCTGGTTTGGGTTGTCTCTATCCTCTTCTAGCCTCTCTCAGGGTGGGTCCT